ATACTAAACGAAGATATCATAACGTTTCGACAATATCATTAATAAACGAAGATGATTCTCGATGTTTATCAATAATTGATGATCTTGACAAAGTGGTTGTTTGGAAAAATGTTCGTCATTTGAAAGTCGTGATTTTTTTCTCAAAAATCACGACTTATTTGATTTGTTAAAATACACACACAATATCACATCATCTAAGCTGGATGTTGAATATGTCAGAAATATTCCGACTAATAATCGTTTGTTATATGTTAAAGAATTAGATTTGATAAATGGAACTTTAAAAATGAATTCGGTGAAAAAACTTGGCGATTTGTTTCCATCGCTTGAAAATTTCTCAGCAGAAATCGATAATTTATTAGAACTCTACACCATTCTTCCTTCGTTGCTCACTGAACTTTGCGATATAAATTATGTATGTTTACGAATATGGACAGATGTTGATCAACAAACAGAATCTTGAATAAAATTGAATGATTCCATTTTGAAACATTTTTGTGTCGAATTTAATGGCATCTTTCTTCGTATATGGTGCAAATAAAAATCATCTGTTAACTTCAAACGTACTCAGGTCAAAAAAGCCTGTTAGGATCCTACTGGAGTGTATAGCACCCAACCACTCAACAGATTCTTGAGAAATCTTAAATTCAGATCCTACAGAATTCTCTAAAAAATGTGATTCCTATTTTGGGGCAATAAAATTCTTACTACTTTTCCCACAAAATTTTATTACCAGATACTCGCTAACCTTGTCAGAGTTAGAGTTTTATGTTTAGAAAAAAAGAATCAGACATGGCAGTCTGATTCTTACTTACATATAATAGTATTCAACACTTACTTGGCAGTGATCAGGTATAAAGTGTCATTTTGAAAGTTCACTTCTTTTAACTCTTGGAAGAGCTCTTGTTCAATTCATAGGCTTAGATTGGTTACATGTTTTAATCTAATATCTGTATCCATCAATTATTATTGATTACAGATAGATTTGATCAATTTTGTTGTGAAAACTGTTCGGGTGCGTAGTTATTATTTCATTACAAACTATTATGAGCCATTTATTTGTTGATCTGAAACAAGTGAACGTTGATAGCCATTTAAAATATATTAATACGATGGCACAGTCATCAATAAAATTATTAGACGAAAATACTAAATTTTAAGTTTTTGGCTCATTGAAAAGATTAGTCGAAAAATCGAGTACTAATTTACCGAACAAACGTTCTTTAACAAGAAATATATTCTACACTTTCGAAGATAGAAATCGTCGTATTACTAATATTCAAAAATCATCTTTGATGCAATAGATATTCAATGAATGTATATATGCAAAACTATAAATAATAACAAAACTCATAAAATAATTGTAAAAATCGAAGGAAACAATATAATGAACCGCTGAATGAATCATTCGATAGCGCTCATCGAGTTTGATCGACACATTCATGCACACTCTTCCTTAAAAACAGTCAGTTCTTGATGTTCCGAAGGAAGATCTCGTCAAACAGTAAACAATGAAATTTTCGCTCGGTTTCTATAGAAAACTTGTGTTGAATCCATAAACTTCAGCCTCACAGACTGATCCTATTCAAGGTTACGCAGTTAATATGTTCGATGCCAAGAATAGACGTTTTTTGTGAAGCTCTAAGTAACATTCCACAAAGTTTCTGTCTGAATGGTTTAAATATGTCATATTAATTAATGGTAGTCTCAGGATTTTGTGAATATCTTTTTCGGCTTTTCATCCTCAGATTCAACTTGGTTTCAAAAGGCTCACTATTCAAATCTATACAAGAATACATCAAAACTTTTGTTAAAGAACTCAATGGAGAAAAATTAGATAAACAGTACTAAGAAGTTCCAACTTGTCCAACCTTCAAAAGTGGTTTTCCTAAACAGTTTAGTCTTCTTTTAGCTCTTTCGTGAGTATGGCAACGCAGCAAAGTACGTTTTGGAGTATAACTAGATGCACTTCTTCTTTTTTTATATACAAGTTATGTACTAATATAGTACATCGTAGATATCTTTATCAGTCCAATAGTGAGAGTATTCACACTCAGAGCTCCATGTAAAAAAATAAATGGAAACCAACTATGATTTAAATATAACTGGTAGATAACAATACTTTGACGACTAGAAATCCTCTAACGTATTGTATTACAAATAAATACACTATATATGTACCAGAGATCGGCACGGACCGAGTCGCTTCGGATTGGACCAGAAAGCTTTTAAGGCCGGCTGGACCGACCCGGCTCAGGTCTCAAGTTTTCATTGTCGGACCGGCTCGAGGACTTCTCTTTCTTCCCGAGAGCATGTGGTAAATACATCAGTAAAACCATTCTAGTTACTATACACATGTTCGTCATGAATATTGTGATATTTCGTTTTCCAATATGTAACTGAATAAACAGGTTATCTAGTGCATACAAAGATTGGAAAAAACCCGTGAAAATTTAACTGATAGAGTTGTGCTAGAAGCTCATTGATAGCAATTTGTCAACCAAGTCTATTGGCGTTAAATATGCAAGAGACTGTAAACAACTGGAAAGGTCAGGTCGGACTCGGGCCTCCACTTTTTGTCACGTTTTGGCCAAGCCGGACTGTAAAATTTTTAAGACCGGGCCGAGTCGGGCCAGAAATTTTCGGCCCATGCCAATCTCTGGTATGTACATCATCATTAGATAAAAGACTCAATGGTGCTGTTCTAACCAATGATACTGCATTAATGCAAATTAATCATATTTTATCTAATATATCAATACGACTTTTTGAACGAAAGCGGTTGTGTTGTTCTAACGTTCGCAATTAATTCAGAAGAATTCACCGTTTGAATATACTCTACTTTATCAATTGTACTAGTTAATGATTCAAAAGATTGTTTATCACTTCCATTAAGGGCCCCCCTCCCCTCTAAAAATTTTTTTTTCCCAGAACACTCAATCTTACTGAAATTTTTACTGAATATGTATCTGACCATTGATAGTTTTCAGTAAAAATTTGAGCTCATAATATTGAGTTTTTCGCGAGTTATTGTAACATCAAGGGTCAAAAAGTAGGTGTCCGTGTGTCAAAGATTTTGTTTTCAATTTTAATGATACGGACCTCGGGATGGTGTCAAAATGTAGAGAAGACCTGCCCCTACAACCTAACAAAGCCGGATTTTTGAAAAAAAAATTAATTTTTTTACACAGTTTTTTCGAAAAACCTAGATTAATTTTTTAGAAAACTCGAGTTTTTTGTAAACAAATAAATTGAAAACAAAAATTCCGGCTTTGTTAGGTTGTAGCGCTGATATTTACCTTCATTTTAAAACCTTTCAGAGCTTTCTAACATTTAAAATGGTGGAGAAATCTTTGACGCACAATCAGGTAAAACAAAAAAACCAGTTTCGAGAAAAACGCAAAACAAGTTTCTCCTTTGATTATCACGGTTTTTTTTGGAAAGTGGTACAAAAAAAAGTCTGAGAGCAGTTCGTCATAGGTTATCGGCTATGGCGAATCGAATGAGCACATGTAGACATATGTGCGACGTACTTTTTGCCATATGTAAGCGTTATTTCCACGGAAAAACCATAAAAATCAATCAGTTTTTGATGTTGGGTGCCTCAGAAAAACCGCTGCAAAACCCTCAAAAATCATCGTATAACCAATAAATCATAGTGCATTCGAAAGCAGATATATTGGGCTATACAACTATGCATAAATGTCGAAATCGAGTTTTTTGTTGAAAAATGCTTTTTCTGAGGGGTGAGGGGCCCTTAAAAACGTCCGCAACCATCAGAAGACTAACATAAATATCTTGTTCTGTATCACAACCTTAGATGATATGAAAAACAGAAACATTGTGATATAGTAAAGAGTGATGGCTGTACAGTGGTGTTTACCTGAAAATGTTAAACGTAATTCAGTCACTGTTTTTTGCTATAGTTTTACAGTGTTGTCTCTCATCCGTAAAAGTGATTGCTTTTTTACATTGTACACGACGATATCCATTTTCACGTTGTTGTATTTGATTGAATGATGCTGTTAACGAACTTTCTTCATTAAGATTCATTGTATCTTTAGACATTTGAGCAGAAAGTTTCAATTTCTGTGAGTAAAACGCAAAGGAGTTTATGAATGTGAGATGCAAGACTGCGAGTATGAATCAAACAGGCATAGTAGAAACTATTTATAAAGAACAAGAATTTACGAATTAGAGTATGTCTTAGCAGAAGAGAAGATCATTTACTCTAGTTCGAATTGATGGTTCAAATACTGACGTTGTTGATAATGTGAAAGTGGTTTGATTATTTAAAACTATTTTTTTAACATTAGTAATGATAAACGAATGATTAATATCAACATCACGATTATATAATACGATCAACATTCTCATGAGAACAGGAAGCATCACAAATAATATTGTCGCCATCACATGATCGTTTCGTTTATGAATCGGTCGCACAATGGAAACTCCGTTGGAAGGCTTGCAAAAACAATGATCGTATCTGCCTCAAGTGTATTAATCGTGTGGACAAACTTACATTTTGAACTTATCATACAAATAAATTACAGTACATAATACTACAAAATTCACATAAATATTTCAAAAGTTTCAGATCTAGTATGCATAATTATATTTTCCACTATACAACAAATGTTAAATATTCTAATAGACTAAAAATTCGTTTGTTTTTCAAATAGCAAACGTTTTAGATATTAAAAGCAAAGCTGTAAATTGATGCACAACAAATCAAAAACAAAATACAATCAAAATATTAGAAAGTAAAGTACACACCTACATAATATATGGGAATATCGAATCACCCATCATAGACTATCAGATTCGATACGTAATAGCAGAACCATCCGTACTCAAACACAATTAGTTAATAATTGTTCTCACAAAAATCAATAATAGCACATTGCATTTTAATGTGGAACTAAGTTAGTTAGAAAGTCAGAACAAATAAATAAATAAAACAGATATTAACATTTTAACATTGGATAATGTAATTGCTAGAATTTTGCCGCATCTTGGTTTCGCACTTTTGTCTTTGTCCAGTGCTCCTGGTATATATCATCTTTATTTATTAACAGTTTTAATGCTAAAATTAGGATAATAAATCTCTATTATATATTCAAACTACTACAACTGTTCGACCTACTGGCTGAATTTGCTTTTAAAGCCACCATAAATTCACGGAAATCAATATCTCCTGAATTATTTATGTCAAATTTTTTAAACATAGCTGCGTCTTGATGTGATTTTGCTTCAGGATGTAATTCATGATAAGCTAAAGAAGAGAATACCAGTCGTGGTCAACAATGAATAAATGTATTGAGAATTGAAAGATAAGTACACGATTGTATCGAAAGTTACAGGCAACGTTTACATAATCTCTTAATGATTATAAAGCAACTGAACAAATCTACACACAAAATAGTGGTGTTACGTAGATTTAAAGAGCTTTTTCTAAAGGGTATTGCGCGTAAGTAAGCACCAGTGCCAGTACTTATACTGGTTGAGTGACCAGTTTTTACTGGGTATCCAAACGGTTTAGTGATCAAGCAATATAAACTCTCGCCCAAAAAGTGTAAACACATGATGTTTTTGTTCGAATGGAAGAACAATAGAATAATCCATGTTTTTTGAATGTCTTCTTATAAAAGATGAAAGCAAGTAACCTGGAGAATACTAATTTTCGCCCCAAATGTTGTTTTTTCTGACAGGGAGCTAGTACACTGTAACGTCGGGAACTATTTATAGAAAATGCTCGGCGATTATCAAAAAGTCCATATATAAATTCCTTGAGGATTTTCTAGATTCTAGAAAATCGAATTTACAGAAACTTGGAAATTCGAGGTCGATTTTCCAGCATTCTGGAAATTCGAATTTCCAGTTCGATTTTCTAGAATTATGTTTAATATTCAGCGATTTCAATGTGGAAATTCCTCGGTGGTTTTATATATCGACTTTTCGAAATTCGAAAAATGGAATTAATTTCCAGTTATCTGAAAAATTGCCGAGGAATTTCCAGGTTATTGCTTGTATAACAATGAAGCTACACTGCAAAAGACAACTTAAAATTTTAGGCGTGTTATAATACATTAAAATTACACCCTATATTCCCATAACGCGTTTTGGGATTAACTAATACTTTTTAACATTATCTTCCGAGATTAAAAGCGCGTTTATGGATTAAAATAACACCACTGGAACGCATCGAAAGGTCAAAAAATATGTCTTTAGCGCGTTAATGTTTTCTAAAACATCGTTTCTACATCAACAAAACGTTTTACAATGTGTTCACAGTTCGTGTAGAAAATTTTCAAAACTTTCGCCGCATTGTGATACGTGTGTGGATGCAGAAATCACGTTTTGACAAACTTTGACCCATAAAGACATATTTTTATTGACCTTGGGACGCGTCTCATTAGTGCTATTTTAGTTCTTAGACGCGTTTTTGGTCTCGGAAGGTAACGCTAAAAAAAGTAACGTTAGTTAACCCCAAACATGTGTTATGAGAATTTGTTGTATTTTTAATGTATTGTAAGATGTCTTAAATGTTATAAAAATTTGTTATATGTCTAAGCGTATTTGTTGTTTGGGTGCAGAAACAACGCGTTTTGAACAATTTGTATACTGACAAATGGTCAGAATTGCTCACCACGGGTTTTGGCCCTCCCTAGCCTCAGTCAATCGACTTAGAACCTTCAAAGTTAGTGTTTTGAAACCGCCACAACGCCAGCTTTCAGACGGTATGTCGAGAAGTTGGAAAAAATGTACTTTTCATGGAAAAATAGGTCAAAATGTGAAAAACTACGAAAAAACGCGATTTTTGAAAAGTATTTTGGATATAGCGTATCGGAAAGGCCGAGGCACGTTTCAAAATACATGCAATCCTGCTCAATTTTGAATGAGGAATCCAAGTTTAACCAGAAAAATGTTTTTAGAGGAAACAGTTTTTTGGAAAACGCTTTCCCAGCTTTCCTAACCTTTCCTCCGTGTTCCTGTAATCCTCCTCCATCAGGGTCCAAAACTTTCGAGAAAACCCAAAGTCAATATCGACAGTTTTGTTCAGAATTCGACGCTGATTCCGAATATGTGTCTTTTGATCTGATTAGGTAAAGAAAAATTTTGACCCTTATCGCTGCCGTCCTTTATTTCTGTTCTAAGTCATTTCTGACTTAAAAAAATAGTATTTCTATGATCCCACAAAATTAGAAAAACATATTAATACGAGAAAAAATCGATTGAAGCTTGAATAATCATAATTATATAAGAAAATGTAATTGATTATTGTAAGAGCAAATGTATAAGGCTTAATCCGTATGATACCTACCACCATTACATCTACTTTTGGCACAAATAGCGAGACACGTATTAACTGAAGCAGTTTTGCATGCTGAATCCAATGGCGAAAACTGCAGGTTATATCTCACTAGGAAAAGCTTCATGTGCAAATTAGTCTCCTAGCGGAAATTTCGCCTAACTTGTAAACGATGCCGAAGCCACACTCCCTAACGTAGAACCTTCAGTCTAGTCTCAAATGAAAGATCTCGTTGCGCTCTATCCAAATCTTCAAAGAAGGCTGAGGTACCATCTCAGAATCTTAATATAAAGATTTCTGAAAAACCTGGGTTTCTAGACAACCTGGTAATTTTAAAGTTTCTTTCAGCATATTTTCAACCACATCATTAAATAGCCCGTTCAAGTTTCCGAAAAATCAGAGGTTGACCAACTTTCTGCGATGTTCTGTTAGAAAATACGATACAGATCGAAAACTCAGCATCAAAGCGAAAATTTTCTACGAATTTATATTCGTAATCTCGAATTTGGCAGAATTTCTGGCGGCGCAAGATTACCAGATGGCGGAGGCGGCAAGACGGAGACGAAAAATTACCCACGACCGAAACAGGTCGTACAGGACATAAGTTCCTGTAATATTCCACGACCGGAAAAACATTAATAATTTGATAAGTATTTAATATTTTAGATTAAATAGAGATTCTAATTAGAAACTCTTTGGCGTTCTCCGTTTTTTCATGAAATTCGTCGTTTTTGAGATAGACACATTATTATAGGAAAGATAACATTGCTGTAAAATGTAAAGTGTATTTATTTCAAAAACAACGGATTTCTTCGAAAAATCGAGAACCTTCCTTCAGCCATTCTTTAGCAAAGTGTGTCTTTTCAAACTCAAACCCTGCCCACTGGCTATTTCATTCCCCAATAGAAAATCATACAGAGGTTTGAAACGTTCCAACCTGACGTTTTTGTAACCGAACGGTTAAATGTCATGTTGACTTGGCGTTTTAACCGTCAGGTTAGAACGAGAAAACGTCAGGCTTAGAAAAGCGTCAGATTTTGACGTTTTAACCGTCAGGTTCGCACGGTTTAACGTGTGATTTTTTTACAGTATAGTCACTAGCTATCATACCCGATATAGCTAGCTAACTTAATAAAAGTGGTGCGGATAGCTAGCTAGCTACCATAAGCCTATATTGCCCGATAACATATTTTTATAGCTAGATATTCTCAAAGGCACGTTTTTGCTTGGGTTTTTTCGTATTCTGTGCACCGACACACAGACAATCGTTTGTAAGACTCTAGACTACAGTCGAGGAAATATACACACACATATATGGATACCGTGCAGCGAATGGATCAGTCATAATTAGTCACCACTTACCTTCGTAAAACGTTTCTTTCGATATTTTTCCACTCGGATATTCTGTTATAAACTTATGGTAGTACTTCTCGATTTCATCTTTAGAATATTTTGTCTTGGATGCTAAAGCTTGAATCTGAGATGAATTTAATCGTTCGGGTATCGTCGATTCTTCTGCACCCATGTTGACTATTATTCTGCACCCGTTTGAAATAAGAGTGTGTCATCTCAAGCAACTGAGGCTATGGCTAATTTTCTATGGTTGACTGATTTCGTAAACGTGATAAGTAGTATGATATATCTGACTGTAGTTTGATGAGTAATAATAATAAGAATTTGTCCTTAAAGTTTAACATTGATTTGAAATAGCTGCTCTTACAGGAATAAAAATAACGGGAGAAAGGAGTAATAGTACTTAGAGCATACCAAAAGTACAGGCACCCTAGTGAATGTACTCAAGTGTGAGTACTCAAAAAGTACTCTGCTAGAAAAATCGGACGAGTACTCATACGTACTCATACATTTTTTTACTCACTGAGTACTCACATGAGTACTCATGAGTGAGTAACAAGTACTCTGAGTACGACTTTGAGTACTCATGCTTGGGTATTGTTGAGTACT